TGGTGCCCCAAAGTCCCTATATATCTTTCGATTTGCACGAAATTTGACATAACGTACTGAATTGAGCCTAGAGTGATGTCTCTCTGTCTGTCTGATGTTCGTCCGATTTCATGTAAATGGTGCCCCAAAGTTCCTATATATCTTTCGATTTGCACGAAATTTGGCATAACGTACTGAATTGAGCCTAGAATTATGTCTGCCAAGTTTCGTGAAAATCGCTTCAGATTTAGATATAGCTCCCATATATAGTTTCGTCCGATTTCATGTAAATGGTGCACCAAAGTCCCTATATATCTTTCGATTTGCACCAATTTTGGCATAACGTACTGAATTGAGCCTAGAATTATGTCTGCCAAGTTTTAAGAAAATCGGTTCAGATTTAGATATACCTCCCATATATAGTTTCGTCCGATTTCATGTAAATGGTGCCCCAAAGTACCTATATATCTTTCGATTTGCACGAAATTTGGCATAACGTACTGAATTGTTCCTAGAGTGATGTCTGCCGAGTTTTGAGAAAATCGGTTCAGATTTATATATACCTGCCATATATAGTTTCCTCCGATTTGATGTAAATGGTGCCCCAAAGTCCCTATATATCTTTCGATTTGCACGAAATTTGGCATATCGTACTGAATTAAGCCTAGAGTGATGTCTTCCAAGTTTCGTGAAAATCGGTCCTGATTTAGATATAGCTCCCATATATAGTTTCGTCCGATTTCATGTAAATGGTGCCCCAAAGTCCCTATATATCTTTCGATTTGCACGAAATTTGGCATAACGTACTGAATTGAGCCTAGAGTGATGTCTCTCTGTCTGTCTGATGTTCGTCCGATTTCATGTAAATGGTGCCCCAAAGTTCCTATATATCTTTCGATTTGCACGAAATTTGGCATAACGTACTGAATTGAGCCTAGAGTGATGTCTGCCAAGTTTTGAGAAAATCGGTTCAGATTTAGATATAGCTCCCATATATAGTTTCGTCCGATTTCATGTAAATGGTGCCCCAAAGTTCCTATATATCTTTCGATTTGCACGAAATTTGGCATATCGTACTGAATTAAGCCTAGAGTGATGTCTGCCAAGTTTTGAGAAAATCGGTTCAGATTTAGATATAGCTCCCATATATAGTTTCGTCCGATTTCATGTAAATGGTGCCACAAAGTACTTATATATCTTTCGATTTGCACGAAATTTGGCAATTTGCTAAGTTTCGTGAAAATCTTATATAGTTTCGTCCGATTTCATATAAATGGTGCACCAAAGTCCCTATATATCCTTCGATTTGCACGAAATTTGGCATAACGTACTGAATTGAGCCTAATGTGATGTCTGCCAAGTTTCGAGAAAATCGGTCTATATAGCTCCCATATATATTTCATGTTAATAGTCCTGTTTAATATACCCATAGTGGTGAAGGGTATCATATAGTCGGCCCCGTCCGACTTTACTACTTTCCTTACTGGTTTTTTTTTTTTGTGAATAATACACCAAACTCCCAATAATTGTCCGAATGGGACAAAATTTTGCACAGAGTACTGAATTAGGTCCAGACTGATGTCTGCGAAGTTTTGTTAAAATCGGTTCAGATTTAGATATAGCTCCCTTATATAGTTTCGTCGGATTTTTTGTGAATTATGCACCAAACTTCCAATATTTGTCCGATTGAGACAAAATTTTGCAGAGAGTACTGAAGTAGGTCCAGTCTGATGTCTGCAAAGTTTTGTTAGAATCGGTTCAGATTTGGATATAGCTCCTATATTTGTCCGATTGAGCAACATTTTTAATAGGGAATGCAAATGAAAATTCTATGTTATAAGGTTTGTTGAAATCGGTTCAGATTTCGATATAGGTCTTATATATATTTTCGTTCGATTTTATGTAAATGGTGCCCCAAAGGGCCTATGTTTGTTCGATTTACACGAAATTTTGCAGAGGGTATTAAATTGAATATAGAGTGATAAAAAAAACAAATGTTGTATGCAACGGTTGCTCAATTAGGTCCATATGTTTATATATATAAATTTACTCGATTTCATACAAATGGTACACCAAAAAATCCAATTCTACCCGTTTGACATTCATTTTTTATTGATGTCAGATTTGTATGTGTATGGGGTTTTTCAATTGGTTCAAATATCTATTTAAATATCACTTTAATTTCGCCAGATTCCATCTATCTACAGGATATTGTATATATTAACATCTCTTGTATGCACCCAAAGTGGTAAAGGGTATCATATAGTCGGCCCCGTCCGACATTTGAACTTTCCTTTTTGTTTTCAAATTACTTTTAACATATGAAAAGCTTATGTTTATTCCAATTTTTCCAGTTTAAATATTATAGTTCTCTTGCTGAAGTTATAAAACTTAAACTTATTTTTATACCCTTCACCACACTGTGGTACAGGGTATTATGTCTTTGTGCATATGTTTGTAACAGGCAAAAGGAATCGAGATAGACCCATAGTTCCTTTTGAGAATATGCATAAAATCACTTTCTGAGTCGATTTACGCCTGTCCGTCCGTCCGTCCGTCCGTCCATATATTTTTGTGAACAAAGTACAGGTCGCATTTATGATCCGATTTGGATGAAATTTGGCACAGTTCACTTATATGGCCCAAGGACGAATGCTATTGAAATTGGGAAAAATCGGTTCAGATTTTGATATAGCTCCCATATATTTTTTCGTCCGATTTAAGGTAAATGGTGCACCAAAATCCCTATACATCGTCCGATTTGCACGAAATTAGGCACAGCGCAATGAATTAAGCTTAAAATTATGTCTGCCAAGTTTCGTGAAAATCGGTCCAGATTTAGATTGAGCCTAGAGTGATGTCTGGCAAGTTTCGGGGAAATCGGTCCAGATTTCGATATAGCTCCCATATATAGTTTCGTCCGATTTTATGTAAATGGTGCACCAAAGTCCCTATGTATATTTCGATTGGCACGAAATTTGGCATAACGTACTGAATTGAGCCTAGAATGATATCTGCCAAGTTTCGTGAAAATCGGTCCAGATTTAGATATAGCTCCCATATATAGTTTCGTCTGATTTTATGTAAATGATGCACCAAGGTCCCTATATATCTTTCGATTTGCACGAAATTTGGCATAACGTACTTAATTGAGCCTAGAGTGATATCTGCCAAGTTTCGTGAAAATCGGTCCAGATTTAGATATAGCTCCCGTATATACTTAATCCGATTTTATGTAAATGATGCACCAAAGTCCCTATATATCTTTCGATTTGCACGAAATTTGGTATAACGTACTTAATTGAGCCTAGAGTGATATCTGCCAAGTTTCGTGAAAATCGGTCCAGATTTAGATACAGCTCCCATATATAGTTTCGTCCGATTTTACGTAAATAATGCACCAAAGTCCCTATATATCTTTCGATTTGCACGAAATTTGGCATAACGTACTTAATTGAGCCTAGAGTGCTTTATGCCAAGTTTCGTGAAAATCGGTCCTGATTAAGATATAGCTTCCATATATAGTTTCGTCCGATTTTATGTTAAAGATTCACCAATGTCCCTATAAATCTTTCGATTTGCACGAAATTTGGTATATCATACTGGATTGAGCCTGGAATGGTGTGTGCTGAATTTCGTGAAAATCGGATCAGATTAAGATTTATATATTTCCGTATAGATCGATTGATTTTAAGTAATTGACGCACCAAGGAACCAAGGTTGATAGGAACAAAACGTACTGAAATTAGTATAACCCAACCAGTGACAAGTTTCGTTGAAATCGGTTCATATTTAGATATAGATTCCAAATATATTTTCGTCCGATTTTAAGTAAACGGTGCAAAATTGAGCATAGAATAACGTAGTTGCGTTTTCTAGAAGTACAGACATAGCCCAACGGCCCAACATTTGTCCCATTGTAACAAACAAATGACATGCTCATAGATTGATCTAAGTTGATTCACATTTAGATAAATATCACATATTTTAGTTCATCCAATTTCATGTTAATTGTCCTGTTTCATATACCCATAGTGGTGAAGGGTATCTTATAGTCGGCCCGTCCGACTTTACTACTTCCCTTACTGGTTATAAACTTTAATTCGTTTAATATTTCAGTAAAATCTCGTTCATCAACACCCCAACTGGAGTATTTAAAACACGGACAAGCAGAAGCTTTTCAACTTTTACAAAAATGGAATTTAATGGAACTCCAAAAGACTTTCAGAGGTACCATTTAAATTAAAACTAGTTTTTAATAATTACAATTAAGTAATGTAATTATTATGTACTACTTCTAGATCACGATATAACAATACGTTCTCTGATGTATTTAAATGAACAGGATATTAATGAACTAATACCTAAAATTGGTTTACGTACAATATTTCGTGCTCTCTTACACGAATGGAGAGAGCACCAATGTAATGCAGATAGTACAATTTACAGTTCCGCGCAAAGATCATTTGATGATAACGAATCATTTTTGGAACAAATTGAATTGAAAACTGAATGTAATTCGGAGCAGGACTTGGAGCAGGAGACATTATATACCAAAGGTAAGTTCAAATGAAGAGAGAGAGAGAGAGGTCTAAATTATATTTTCTATATTTTTCTCCTTTTAAATTTCTAAAGCTATACTTCCCAAATAAGTTATATACAATTTTGAGAATATAATGAGTATAAAATATAGAATAATATTTTCATTCTTATTTCAGATCAACTACAATCTGAAAATACCTTTCATTTCGAATATTCACAACAGATACATGATGAAAATAATAATGAAACAATAAATATCCCACCAACGGAAACCAGGCCTCCTGTGCTAGTAAATCAGAAATCGTTTAAAAAATATAAGGGAGAAAGATTTGTAAGTTTTTTTATTCTATATATTAATTATAATTAATAATCGTGACAAATAAACTATTTCCTTTTAGATTGTCCTCGATATTTTAAGCCGCTCCACCGAAGGCCAGGCCATACTCGAATTTTATAAAATCAATAAATTTTTGGATATTAAAAATCGTAAGCGTATCGTTAATATTCTAATAAGGGAGGTGGTTGAGCGTAAAGTTGACAAATATACCGCGATATTTCATGATATGAGTCGACAACTTATTGAATTGTTTCCCACGGAAAAATATGTAAGTGTTTTGTTGTGTATTTTTTATTTTACTAAAAATATGTTATTTTTATTGGTTCTTACAGGAAACATATTTTGTACCCCACTCCGGATCACAATCTGCCAGAGGTGCCTTGTATTATCGTTACTCAAATTATACACGGCAGCTTCGCAAAGAGGGTCTGTTGGCCTATAAGAAATTAAAGCCTCGAATGTGTACAAAATAAAAATTAAGGAAACTATTTATTGGTCCTTTTTCTTTAAATTTTGATAAAATTTAAACATGTTACCTCTGTTCCAGATGCTGCAAAAAAGAAAAAAGTATATAACAATAACAAATTTTCGTTTATGATATCAAAAAAATATAAAATATAATAAATTATTGGAGTTCTGGAACATACCAAAATGGGGTTAGTTATAGGATGGGAACAAGAAGTAGGAAAGAGAAAAATTAAATGTTTTAGCTCGATAAAACTATCCTGGAGAAGAATATTAGAGTATCAATCTCGTATCTCCCAAATAGTCGACACTCGGTACTTTCCAACTCTTCCTCATTCTTACATAAACGGCAGTAGGTCTTTGCGAATTTTTGCAATGTAATAGCCAATATTTCAGATTCCTCATTCTGTAGATCTAACGCAGACCAGCTAAAAGGGCCCTGCTCGGAATAATGATACTGAATAGCAAAATCGCGATATTCAATCATGTTAAAGACACTATCACGCCCATTATGCGACGCTGCTGTTTCTTTGAGCCTCAGAACACATTTTTTGTTTGAAAATTAACGGAAAGAGTCTTATGGCTGAAAAAATATTATCTAAATCTGAATCTGAAAACTTCGCATACATTAATCCAGAACCAATTCAGTACGTTGTGCAAAATTTTGTGCCAATCGACCTGAATTTCACTTTTTGATGCTCCATTTACATAAAATCGGACGAAACTATATATGGCAGCTATATCTAAATCTAAACCGATTCCAACAAAACTTCGCATAGATCCATCTGGGCCTAATTCAGTACTCGGTTTAAAATTTTGTCTCAATAGAACAAACCTTGGGAGTTTGGTGCGTCATTTATGTACATAAAATCGGACGAAACTATATATGGGAGCTATATCTAAATCTGAACCGATTTCAACGAAACTTCGCATACATAAATCTGAATCTAAATCAGTACTCTGTGCAAAGTCTGGTGTTCCGTTTAAATAAAAGCGGACGAAACTATGTTTTCCGATTGAGATAATATTTTGCATACCGCATTGAAGCTAATACAGGTTGGCATCCGTGAAGTTTTGTTGGAATCGGTTGTGATTTAGATATAGCTCCCATATATACATATACATACATATTTTGCTCGATGGTTGACATTGAATTTTCCATTTCAGATAAGTATGTGTATGGGTTGTTTTAATTTAGGCCCAACATCTATGTACGCAGTTAATTTCGTCCGATTCCATTTCAATGGCCCTCCTAAGATGCTAAAGGATATTGTACATATGAGCATCTCTTGTATGTACCCAAAGTGGTGAAGGGTATCATATAGTCGGTTCCGTCCGACTTTTTAACTTTCCTTACTGGTTTCTATGGAGTTATTGCAGGAGTAAAGTACAATTAGACCTTCCACATTTTTGGATTTTATGTTTCCTAGTGAAAGTACAAATTCTATCTACCCCCAAGGTAATTGACTTGGGCCCAGTTTTTTCAAAATACGAAATAGCCCAGTATCACCAGGTATCACAATCGGACAAATGTTAGAACTTTACACGATTTAAAATTTTTTGTCAATTGGACTGACGTAATGTTTTTATACCCTCATACAAATGGCTAATCATGCTATATGTGTACACTTTGAAATGGCAAAAATTTGTCTCATCAAAATATTGGTTTCTTTGCACCAAATCCGTTTCAGACAATTTGAAGTCGATTTACAAATGTCCGTCCGTCCGTCTGCCTGTCTGGCCGGCTGAATACTGTAATATTTCTTCCAAACATATTTCAAGATTGAAGTTAACAGTCCTCTCCTTCTGGTGCCTCCTCAACAAATTGTTCAAAATTATTTAAAGAATTTATTTTTTAATATCATGCGATCCTAGTCTTGATTTAGATTAGGGGAGTTTACTTGCGGCAATTCTTGTCGTTCTATTTTGAACTTTCTTCATGCGTCTATACAAGGCAATTCGGCTTCCGAAATATTTTTCTATTTGTTGTTTTTTCACATTTAAATATATATAAAATGTCAACAAATACGAAATACACAAAACGAATTGCCAGAAAATTTTCGGTACAAGCATTTTTTATTTCATTTCTATTCCCCTTGCCCCTCTCTCCTACAAACAAAGACTTGCCGCAAGTAAACTCCTAATCTAAATCATGACCTACTATATTTACCAAGCCTATATGAAGTTCGAAGATGGGACCCATTGGTCCACTCTTTCTTGTCAAAATCCTCAATGTTTATAAATCCAATATAAGGCGAATGTAATGTTCGATTTCAACCAAACTTTATACAAACTATTATCTTTACCAAGACTACAAGTCCGAAAATGACACCCATTGATCAGCTCCTTCTGGTACCTCCCCTAAAGTTGGTCAAAATTTTCAATATTCAATGTCCGATTTTAACCAAACTTTGCCCAACCCATTATCTTTACCAAGTTTAGCTCAAGTCTGAAGATGGGACCTATGATTCACTCTTTTGGTACCTTTTGTATATAGCTTGAATCTTGTATGGAAATGGGAAGTGGTGTTGATGTATGGAAATGTTTTAAGAAATTCGTACTTTTGTGTATAAAAAGTACAAAATAATACAAAATTTTGTACCATTTGCATTTCGTTGAGTGTATAGAGATGGAATCCTGAAAATAGGAATTATGACTACTATTGTACTTATGTGTACAAAATGACAAACTTTGGTGAGCAGATAGAGCTGAATTCCTGAATACATAAGAATATTTTTTTCAACGGAATTTTTTAACTCAATGGAAACCAGATATATTGAATTGCAGATACTTGCCTGTACTAAAAACGTCAAGTCACAACCAATTCGCTTGAAAAGCGTGCCCAAAAATCATCAAAATATCAAAAATAGAGGTAATAACAAAACATAAACGGTAAACTACCAGACAATTAACAATGCTTTAGTCCCCATATAAAGGTCCCGGCCAATTTAAGGAATTTTGAATGCACACCACATGGTGTTAGCTAAAAAAAATTCGGACAACGATTTTACATGTTCATAAATAAACACGTTAATGTGTCGCAAATTGTAATAACAAATATACCACAATATGTATGTCCTTACAAAAAAAAAACACAAATGTCCTTGAACTTGTAACAAATAACTATTTCCGATATTATGTGGTAAGTACAAAACAATTGATTACCCATACCTGTAGATATTTGTTTACATTTCAACTGTTGCTCTTTGTTTTCCTTGCTTACCCACCGCTTCAGTCATTGGCCATTTGCATTTATTGACGGAAGAAAGGATCCAAATGTAACAACACATCATATTTTCGAGTTCAATGGTTCATAACCAAAAGTTTTTTTATACGCCAGAGTAGACATGAAGATAACCATGGCAATATCCCCAGCGCATTATTTTTGTTGTTACCTTTTGCATTTCGTTTATAGTTTGTAAACAAACAAAAAAATCCAAACAAATTGCAGCAACAGTTTATTCATTATCGAAGAGATTATTCCGTAAGGATTTGTTTGTAAACAAACCGAACCGAAGGAAACAACAAAAAACTACTTCTTGCTGAATAACTTTGCTGAATGTGAAAGGTAAATGCTGTCATGAGATATGACATGGCAGCTTAGAGAAATTGTAAAAGAGAATAAATACCTGTTGAAATGTAAATGATATGTATGTATAGGGCAACAGGTTAAAGAGATAAAAAATGAAATCATATTCAAAGCTTAAGTTATTGAGTTAAAGATAGATAGATAGATTTAAAGATAGTTTTTTTTATAATTTTAGGATATTTATGGGCATATTGAAGAATTTACATGCAGAGTATATAATATAGAGCGTAATTTTTATGACGTATTCTTTAACTAAATTAAAACTGATTCTGACTAATTTCAATACGGTTCGTCTTCGGACCTAACTATGAGCGATCTCAACAACACTTTTGTTGTTAAACCCGAATTCCAATATCCCAACTTCAATCATTCATAACAAAGTTCAAGATCCATGATCTACCCTATACCACTCTGTGGTACAGGACATTATGTATTTTTGCATATATTTGTGCCATTCAAAAGAAAACAATAGATGGACTAATAGTTACTTGTCATGATATACGATTTATACACATCTCTCTGCCCATGTATTTTATGAACAAAGTACAGGTTAAATTTATTATTTCCAAGGACGAAACCAATTTTCAGATTTAGATAATGCATATATAGTTTCGATCGATTTTATGTAAATGGTCCACCAAATTTCCAAATTTTGCACAGAATACTGAATTAGGTCCAGACTTGTTGCATTTGTTTTCATTATGTGATCACTTCAAAATCGATGTTTTTTCATAAACACGGTTATTTATAGAAAAATTGAATGGAATGATTTTATATTTTGAAATTAAGTGTTTTGATTAAAAAATACTTAAAACGAATCGAGGGCTTATCAAAATAATGGTACCACAGATAATGTTTCATGACCACCACCGTGACCACCACTGTATGTGTATTTGGTTGTTTGAATGCCGTTTGTACATTGACAAACTGCACTACTATTTTTATGAACACAACTGTATATGTTGATCTCTAGTTATTCCAGCAATTTCTGGACCAATCGAATCTTTATTTTTTATACTTTCCCTATTTTATGTTTTCAGTACGAATTGTTGCCAATTAAAATACATTTACAGATTATTTAATTTTTTCTCCTGGAAATAGATCATTAGACTTAATTTGTTAACGCGAAGTTGTCAATATCAACGTCATTTAAGTTAAAAACTCCAAGATGTGCTAATTCCGTGCCATTTCTGGTTCCCAACATTTTTGGAAGATTTCCTCGATATGTCTTCTTGAAACTTATACAGTAGTGGACATTCGTTTGAGCGTGGACATTCATTAAATACAAACCAAAAACATTTTTCAAACGTTTTATGAAATAAGTAAAAATAATATATTTTGCCAGGAAATTCGTTTGAGCGCAGTTCATAAACAAAATACATTAAAAACAAACTTCACAATATTGTTATTATTAAAGGGGAA